AAGACTGGAGGAAGATCTGGACCGAGAAGGGGACGCCACTGACGACCGGTTCCACGACGCAGATACTGCTTTCGACTCCCCGGTTCCTCCGCTCGATTCGGAGTGGACCCCTGGCCCTGGATCCAGGGACACGACTCCTGTGGGGAGCGACACGATGTCGCAGGCTCGCGTCGTCAGCCGTAAGTCCGTCTTCGAGAAGTTCCTTTCGGGCGCCTCTAGGACGGCGGGTATAACCTCAACGCCTCTGTCAGAGCCGCCGCGTCGCTTGTACGGCACCGCCCGGCAGGACGCGCGCGCCGCCTCCTTCCGCCTGGCCGCGTCGTCTCCTCGGTCGGCGTGGCGGCGCGGGCGGCGCGTCACCGGCTCGCCCGGCCGACCGCGTCGCGTCACGTTGGAGCTGGACGACGCGGAAGGGCCGACTTTCACCAGCGGGCTGATCGCCGACCCGTCGGTGGCCGGTGACACCGCGTCTGACTCCAGCGCGACGGCGGAGGAGCGCCGTACGGCGTCGGTGCCGACGGCCCGCTGGCTGGAGGGGGAGGGTCGCGAGGCGTCGGGGAGCGCGGACGTCGGCGCCGACGCGTCCGACTCTGCCAACAGCAATCGGCGGCGGCGTGGTTCGGGCCGCTCGCCGGGCGGCACCGTCGGCACGCTGGCCCGGCGGTCCCTGCACGACGACTCGGCGGACGAGGACGACATTGCTGACCGGAGGAGCCGCGACACACAGAGCACGTCTGCCACGCCGCGTCAGAGCACGTCAGCTACACCGCGTCAGAGCACGTCAGCTACACCGCGTCAGAGCACGTCAGCTACACCGCGTCAGAGCACGTCAGCTGCACCGCGTCAGAGCACGTCAGCTACACCGCGTCAGAGCACGTCAGCTGCACCGCGTCAGAGCACGTCGGCTACGCCTCGCCAGAGCATGTCTGCCATGCCACGTCAGAGCACGTCAGCTGCACCGCGTCAGCACATGGCACATTGGCTACACCGCGTCGGAGCACGTCTGCGACGCCTGCCGTCAGAGCACGTCGGCTACGCCTGGTCAGAGCACGTCGGCTACGACTCGTCAGAGCACGTCGGCTACGCCTCGCCAGGGCGCGTCGGCTACGACTCGCCAGAGCACGTTGACCACGCTGGGCGAGAGCGTGTTTGGCACGCCTCGCCAGAAGAAACGGTCGCTGCAAGAGTCGACGGCCAAGACGCCTGTGGGGCGGCGGGGGCTCCGCCGCCGCGTCAGATGATGGCGCCCGACCGGCGGGGGCGGACCACGCTGCTCGCTGCCGGCCGACGGGTCACCCAGCAGGAGGCGTTCGCACGCCTGTTCCCCACCTATGATCGCGACCAGGAGGAGGCGACGCGAGGCGGCGAGGGTGGCGGCGGCGGCGCAGCGCGTGACCCGGCCCCGCCCGGCCGCGGCCGTCGGCCGGCGGACTGAATTCGCTGGTCGGCCTGCCGCCGGGCCGTACGCGCCGCTGGTTCCTGCCAGAGCGCGGCCGGCCTCCGGATGACGGCCGAGGCGCTGCGAGAAGTGGACGCCGCCATCAGCCAGTTCGAGCGGATGGTGCTCGGCTGGCTGAGCGAGGGTGTCCGGTGGCCGGCGACACGTCGAGCAGCAGGACGTGCTGGCCGTGCTACGCCGCAGCGGCGTGGCTGGCAACGAGGCTGAACTGCGCCGCCTCATCCGCCAGTACATGATGCTCGAGGAGCAGAAGCAGCTCATACAGGTCACACGCAGCGGCACTGGCCTGGCCCCGGCCGACAACCCGCTGGCCGAGTTTTGATTGGCATTGTGATGACGCCGTGGTGGACTGACCCGGGACCCCGGCTGCGTGGTCTGGCTGTTTGCGTACAACGGTGAGCGGTGTTCGTTCGTGGTTTGTAACTCGCTTGTAGGCTAGTTGTGCAGCGTTTAGCTTTGGCCGCGTTGTTCAGTATCCCAAAAGTTCGAATGCTATTACATGGTGTTGAAAAGTGCTAAGTGATGTATCGTTCAAGACTGCTTGTACATGTTTTGCTTTTTGTACCACAGAATACACATTACAGCTGAAAGACAGACATCCGGATGTAATTTGCCTTAGCAGCCGCCTTGTGTATGAAAATTCCCTACAAAAACCGCGCAAGGCACATTTTCGGCCTTTGTGAATCTACTCATAGAGGTTCTGATGTCACGTTTCTTTGCTATTTCCTTCTGTCTGCTGCTCACGTAGCTTTAATGCATGGTTTTAGTTTCGCAAATAAGTTGTGCGGGAGCAGAAAATAGCCAACCTACCTAAAAACGAAGGCCGACGGGAGTGTTTCTTTTCGGATTAGCTTACTCTCCTCTGTTTTTTTATACTTATTCTTCTTATTTCCCCTAGCTTATGCCTCTCTGCCGCCACGAATGGAGCGATACGCATAACTGGGCAGAGGCAATGCGCTGGTCGGCCCCAGCCTTCTTGTTGACGTCACCAAACAGTTGGCAGGTCGTTGATCACAAACCCTCAACAGCTGCTGCTGCGCCACATTTGTAGCCATTCAATGTTTTTATAGAAAATGGCTATCGATAAAACCTGTCGCATCCAAAAGAACCGTGCATAGCACAGTTTGTGTGCGAGGGGGGCGCCGGGTTCCTATCCACATATACACCTGCATATGCGCTTGTAGGTACGATGGCCTTTGGAGAGGGATCCATGGGGAATTTAATAGGAAACGTCCAATTGCATACTGCATTCTATATGAATCCTCTAGTGAGCCATGATTTGGTGAGGAGTGGACTGAGACGTGAGAACTTGGCTTCTTGATTTTATTGCAATTTTGGGTTGAATAAACATTTCATATTCTGTGTGTATAGTATATGTATGTAGCTAGATAAGTTGGTAGGAAAAGCATGTTTTGAAATATGAGTGCAGTAGCACCATTCACATTTTTCACACTGGAAGTAGGGGTTTTTCATTTTCAGTACATAATACCATGAGTCAGGTTGTTGTACATCACATCTGAATCTCAGGTAGTCCATTGGGTCCTATTTCACACATGGTGCATGTGTGCCCTCCATTTTGTCACTTGGGCATAGTTCAAAATATTGCTCTCTTATGGCAGTGGACAACATGTTGTCTATTGTTTTTTTTAAGTTGTAAGACATTTTCAGTTATCATATAAGGATGATGATGCTGGATATCAACTTGCATGTTTCATATTTGTCACACCTGTGTTAACTGAATGTAACAGTTGCCTTAAGCTTATGAGCTGTGGAGGATTTAAAGGCTTAAAATAATTGCAAGTGCAAAAAATAGTTGTTGACAGATGCGGCATAGTCATATTTCTGGCACTTTTATGACACTGTGCCCAAACTTTGGCTTCTAATGATATCTTCTTGCAAACTTGCCTTAAAAGGTAAAGTCAAGGATGATATAAATTACACATGACATATAATGAGTGACAGACCAAAGGTAGATAAATGAGTTAGGTAGGTGAGTCATGATCTCAACTTTCTTTTTATATTGATTAGAACACTATTGTGAATGAGGGTGGATAGGGGAGGTGTATTTGGAAAGAGGCCTTGGTCACCATTTTTATTCTGGTGATGTTTCTAAATGCTCAAGCATAATGGCTAACCTAAAATATGAAAAGGTTTTGTATGTTGCTGCATTACATCTGTTAGCAGTGCTGTGAAATCGTGGGGCAGCATTTACATTAATACACTGGTCACATTTGAAAGCAATGTTACTGATATGTACTGATAAGTGCATGTGCCATGTCTTGGATACTTCTAACCAATGGCTGAGGCTCATCTCAGTGCTCTTTTCATCACAGGCATCAACTTGGATTCAGAACAACCAAGCTTTAAGCTGCATGCACAACCTCAGCATCACATCTGAGAGAGCTTGCCTCGGCGCCGCGACACCGTCCGCGGCCGCAGCCGTCGGCGGGCCATGGCCGACAAGGACAACGTGCGCGTGGCGGTGCGCGTACGGCCGCTGAACGAGACGGAGGTGACAAACGGCTGCCGGAGCGCGGTGGAGGTGAACGCGCTGAGCGGCGCCGTGTCGCTGCGCACGCCGGCCGCCGCCGCCGCCTCCGAGCCGGCCAAGACATTCACCTTCGACGTGGCGTTCGGGCCCGACTCCAAACAGGTGAGGGGGTCCGGCGAGGCGCGAGCAGGGCCCCTGGTGGGCCGGTCCGGTCACAGGCTGGTGAGTCCCCGCCACGCCGCCGCAGCTCGGACAGACGAGAGTCGTCCGAGTCGGCCTCCTGACATCCGGCCTCGCCCGCCCACGCCCACGAAGTGCACGAGGGTAAGAACTTCTCGTACTGTCGTCACCAAGCTGGCTGGAAGGGGCAAAATCCCGTCCGTGCCGCCGGTCTATGCTCTGCGCTTACACTGTTCTGTATCTGCCGACAGTTCGACATATACAACCAGGTGGCGCGCCCTATCGTGGAAAATGTGCTGGAGGGATACAACGGCACGATATTTGCGTACGGTCAGACCGGCACGGGCAAGACGTTCACCATGGAGGGAGTCCGATCAGTGGCAGAGAAGAAGGGAATCATTCCCAACTCGTTCGCGCACATCTTTGGACACATCTCCAAGGCAGCAGGCGACACCAAGTACGTTTTGGCAAAAGAGGATGCTATGGCATTGATATGTTTAAGGATGTCCGCCTTTTCGTGTGGACCTAGGGGCGGCAATGGATTGTTGATGCACCGATCAGGGGCAGAGTTTGCATTCAGTTTCATATTCACACAGGCTCCGCCTGGTATCTGGTCGGAATATGAAAATCCTCTTACTTACATTACTTTCAAGTCAAATCATTCACGACTTGGTTGAATGAACTCGGATTCCGATTCAGACAGCATTTGCAAAGTCATCGTTTTCACCGTGACCCCAGGAAAATTGGACAAAATTGGACAGGAAAGACAAGACAAAATTGTACGGAAAAAATCCATTGCTCCTTGGATTCGGCCCCCGCCTGGAGTCGAGCGCAGGCGTGTCGCAGGTGGATGGTTGTCGATCGGCCGCTCTCGCGCTGTGCACCCGACCTCATCGGGCGCTGCTGGTGGGGCTCCGCCTGGGTCGTCAGTCCGAGGCCGAACCGTCTCGCCACGCCCGGTAGGTTTCTGGTGCGTGTCTCCTACCTGGAGATCTACAACGAGGAGGTGCGCGACCTGCTCGGCAAGGTGCAGAGCCAGCGACTCGAGGTCAAGGAACGGCCCGACGTCGGCGTCTACGTCAAGGACCTGTCGGCGTTCGTCGTCAACAACGCCGACGACATGGACAAGATCATGACGCTGGGGAATAAAAACAGTAGGTACCCCAGGATGTGGATCCCGCTGTCACCACCGTGCCCCCCACACTTCGTTTGCGTTCGTCTGGAGCTGACCGTCAAGCAAATGTGGTAACGAAATCGAACCAATACAGCGCTAATCTGCCTTATTTTGGACCAATCGTCGTCACTCTCGGGCGCTGGGAACAGCCGTCGACCGTCGCGAACGGACGTGTGTGAACGCGCTGTGGTCATGGCTTTCGAGTACTTGGATGACGTAGTCATCGGCACCCTGAGGGTATTTTAAGCCCTGATGCTTTGTGGATACGCGGTTACGTATGCGGTGTTGTCAACTGAAGTTATATATATATATATATATATATATATATATATATATATATATATATATATATATATATATACATTAGAATATAATACGTTTGAACTTTTTGCCGCTGTTCATTTCTTTATCCTTGCCACCAATCGGGTGGTGAGATTTGAGGTGTCAGAAGTACGGCTTCGGCACGTAGAAGGCAATTTTCCATAACCATGATTGTGTGTTGCCGGTATCGGCAATTTCTTAGGTGGCTACTGAATTCATACCCCGTCATGCGATGACCCAAGGCCAGTTACGGACGATGTTTTCAGGGCTGGAATCGCACAGTCCCTGCAGCGTCGTATATTTCCATGTCCTTACGCCTGAGTTTTTTGGGGGGGTTGAGAGCCAAACGGTGCCTGCTGGTATGCCATTTGCTGTCTGACACATACCTCCGCCAAGTGCCGCGCTCTCGTGCGGGCTGTGTGCCCTATGCCGTGCCCTCTGCCGAGCCTGCCACCAGCCACAGCCTGTCCGCCGCAGGATCGGTGTGGCGCGACCAACATGAACGAGCACAGCTCGCGCTCGCACGCTATCTTCACCACCACCGTGGAACGGAGCGAGCGGGGCCTGGACGGCCAGAACCACGTGCGCGTCGGTAAACTACATCTGGTCGACCTGGCGGTGAGCGGCAGCGAGGGCTGGTGGTGGCGGGCCACGGGGGTCGGTGTCAGGGCGCCGTAGATGCCCGGCGGGCCACGGAAATCGGTGTCAGGGCGCCGCAGATGCCCGGCGGGCCACGGGAGTCGGTGTCAGGGCGCCGTAGATGCCCGGCGGGCCACGGAGGTCGGTGTCAGGGGCGCCGCAGATGTCCGGAGGGCCACGGAAGCCGGTGCCAGAGCTCCGCTGTTGCCCGTTGACGGTCTGACACCGACTGAGTGTTCGGAGTTGAGCTCCGCAATCTAGCAGGAAGGGAAAGCGGAGCAGAGTACATGTCAACTTGGCTCAGATTTGTGGACGTGGCCATCTGTGAAGTGAATTCATAGATCCCGTGGGAAGGGGTAGAATCACTTAGGGTAGGGTACCGCACATTTTCTGCGAGTATGGCCGTCAACATTTATTGGGATACCATCCGTAACACTATGGGCTTGCATGACGAGCCACGAGGCTGTGCATGGCTGTGGAATACATTGGTTGGTACGTGATGAGGCTGTCCCGTGTCGGAACAGTTTTGTCCCGCGCCTAGTGTCTGCCCAAGTGCGACTGACCCCGCTGCCTCCACCGGTATCCTCCAGTGGCCGAGTGCCCTCGGTCGCCGCGCGTCGGGGTTATGGTAACGGGCGGCAGAGCTGCTAGCCGACGCTGAGCCGGCAGTAACCGCCGTCGGCCGGCCGCCCAGGGCTCGGAGCGCCAGAGCAAGACGGGCGCCACCGGTCAGCGCCTGAAGGAGGCCACCAAGATCAACCTGTCGCTCTCCACCCTCGGCAACGTCATCTCGGCCCTGGTGGACGGCAAGAGCACCCACGTGCCCTACCGCAACTCCAAGCTGACGCGCCTGCTGCAGGACTCGCTCGGCGGCAACAGCAAGACGGTGATGGTGAGTAGGCCGGTGCTGTGGCTGCTGTCGTCCGTCTTTCGTTATCTTCGTTATCTGTTTGCAGCGCGCATGTCCCCGCACAACCTGCCGACCTGTTGCTTTTGGGATACCTGTGCAATGTTTTTCTCACTGCTGGGATTGCGACAAGGAATAAGTATCGCTGCGCACCCAAGTCTCACCGCATGAAAACGAGTCGCGTTCTGGCGATTGCTTTAATGGTATGGAGGGACGCTGGTCTCGCCAGATCATGGGACTGCCTGCCAATGCAGCTACGACCGTATGGTGCCGCTCCCGTTGTGGCTGTCGTTTGGTGCTCGCCTGCTAAGTTCTAATGCCACCATTTGGTGTAGTACTTGTCGCCCGCCGATGGTGTAGTACCGTGCTCTCTCTAACGCTGAATAAGGCCCTCGGTTTCGTTTCACCGATGACTGCCTTCCACAGATTGCCAACGCCGGCCCTGCCGACTACAACTACGACGAGACGTTGAGCACGCTGCGGTATGCCAACCGCGCCAAGAGCATCAAGAACAGCGCCAAGATCAACGAGGACCCGAAGGACGCGCTGCTGCGCCAGTTCCAGAAGGAGATCGAGGAGCTGCGCCGTCGCCTGGAGGAGGAGGGTGAGTACCGGTGCTGCCGGCACGGTCGGGGGTGCTGGCGGTGAGAGACTACCGGCCAGGGTGGCTGCCGACGTGGAGGGGGTGGTGCTTCGGAGTGCTACACAACCTCTTGTGGGGCACACGGAGTTTCATGCGGTAAGCATGCATATATGTTGTTCGTAATTATTGCAAAATCACCAGTCGCCTGAATTTGAATTATATTTTGTCATTTTCAAACCTTCACAGTCCTTTGAACACATCAGGGCGACTCTCGTCCGGCTTTTGGACCGACCTGGAGCCATGTCGCGTGTTGTCTCCGACACTCGAGCTTGCGGGCCGACTGTGGCGCTGTATGATCAGCCCCCCCCCCCCCCTCCCCCGCGGCCGCGGCCCCATCTGACCCGGCCGCCCTCTCGGTCACCGTCAGAGGGCGGTGGCGACTCGGACAGCGGCTCGGCGGAGGAGTCCGGCGGCGAGGAGGCGGCCGCCGACGGCTCGCCGCGCCGCCGCCGGCCGCGCCGTCTCACCGAGGAGCAGGTGGCTGAGGTGCAGGCCCAGCTAGCGGAGGACCGGCGCCGCCTCCAGCAAGAGAAGGGCATGGCCGAGGCTGAGCGGCGCCGGCTCAAGCAGCAGGTTGACCAGCACGAGAAGGAGCTGGCGCAGGCGCAGTGAGTGGGCTGGTGGCGGCGGGGAAAGGGTGGTCCGGTGACTGTGGGGCTGATGGCGGCGGAGAGCGGGAGAAGTAGTCCGGTGATTGTGGGGCTGATGGGGCTGGGAGGGGGAGGAGTAGTCCAGTGACTGTGGGGCTGATGGGGGCTGGGAGGGGAAGTAGTCCGGTGACTGTGGGGATGATGGCGGCTGGGAGGAAAATGAGCAGTCTGGTGACGGTGGGGCTGATGGGGGCTGGGAGGGGAGGAGTAGTCCAGTGACTGTGGGGCTGATGGGGGCTGGGAGGGGGAGGAGTAGTCCAGTGACTGTGGGGCTGATGGGGGCGGGGAGGGGAAGTAGTCCGGTGACTGTGGGGATGATGGCGGCTGGGAGGAAAAACAGCAGTCTGGTGACTGTGGGGCTGATGGGGGCTGGGAGGGGAGGAGTAGTCCAGTGACTGTGGGGATGATGGCGGCTGGGAGGGGGAGGAGTAGTCCAGTGACTGTGGGGCTGATGGCGGCTGGGAGGGGAGGAGTAGTCCAGCGACTTTGGGGCTGATGGGGGCTGGGAGGGGAAGTAGTCCGGTGACTGTGGGGCTGATGGGGGCTGGGAGGGGGAGGAGTAGTCCAGTGACTGTGGGGATGATGGCGGCTGGGGGGGGGGGGGGGGGGGAGATCCGGTGACTGCGGGAATGCCGGCGGTGGGGAGGGGAGGAGTAGTCCGGTGACCGCGTAGACCAACTTTTCTCGATGGGCCATGTGCCGAAGTCGTTTATCACGCCTGGCTGAGTCGGCGCCGTGCTGGATGATGTTCCTCGAGAGGACTCGTGTGAATGCTAGCATGCGTGGGGATAGTGACTTATCTCGTGGTGCTGCTCGGGAGAGCATTACCTGCTGGCCCTTCACAATTCATAGAATTTACTCCACTTTTTCCAGAAGTAGTGAATGGCGTCTGAACTGGTGTCCTTAGCATTGTTGTCGTTGTCTTGCCGTGTTTCTGTTCAGCACCGTCGTGACCGTCGCCCCCCCCCCCCCCCCTTCCCCCTCCCCCAGGCGGGCGCATGATCAGTTGGCCGAGAAGCTGGCGCTGCTGGAGAAGAAGATCATCGTGGGCGGTGTGAACCTGCTGGAGCGGTCGGAGGAGCAGCAGCGCCTGCTGGAAGAGTCTGCCCGCGAGCTGGAACGGCGCCAGCAGAACGAGCGCCAGCTACAGCAGGCGCTGCAGATGAAGGAGGTCAGGCGAGCTGGGCCACTGCCGGCCGGTGGCGCTGCACTCGAGATTTTGAGGACTTTATTTGGTACTCATGCTCCTAAATCTGCTCCTGACGCCTTCGAGTCAGGCGCTTCTTGTTCACGCCTACATGAATACAACTCCCACATGGCATTCATATGCGACAGCCGCGTGTGACAGCCATGCTGGGTGCTTTGCAACATTTTGCACTAAACTTTTTAAAGCTTAAAACTTTTCTTAAGGTATTGTATATGTTAAAGTATGTTATATTATTATATTAAAGAATATGCTTATAAGTAAGGGCTGTATGTTATACTAAGATGGTGTACTTATTGGCTGCAAAAGTAATAACTGGTGTGTGCGTGTGCAGCGTAAGTTTTGACGTGTATGAGGTTTTTGCAGATAAAGAATGTTGATTATAAGTAAGAGCTGTATAGGTTTTTTCTATACAAGAAAAGACAGGTTTAAGTTTTTCCACCAACCACCTGGGCTAACTGAGTAGAAGTTTTGTCATCTAGCACTCATGTCATACATTGCAGTAGAAGTACTGTCATGTATAAGTCCTTGCGGTAGATGTAATAAGGTGTGCTCTTATTAAGTATAAACCTTGTTGTGTAGCACTGATTTCCTGTGTAAGTTCTGTAAGACGAAGTTACACCATGTAGCACTCCTGCTCCCGTCGATTAGTTTTTGTTGTAGCGCGAACGTCGTGACACAGGTGGATAGTAGGATACTGAACCTTCTGTGAGGCAAGGGTTTTGACTCCTTATGTCTGCGAAGGCCGTGCCGAAGGCCGTGCCGAGTACCGGTGATAACATGTTTTCGCCGCAGTCATCGAAAACTCTGGCCAGTGTGGGGGTCGAACCCACGACATTCGCGTTATTAGCACGACGCTCTAACCAACTGAGCTAACCGGCCACGAGGATCGTGAATAGTAAGACCGCCCGTGCCTCTTCAGGCGGAACGTCTAGACATCGAGGAGCGCTACAGCTCTCTTCAGGAAGAGGCGGTGGGCAAGACCAAGAAACTGCGCAAGGTGTGGCAGCTGCTGCTGGAGGCCAAATGTGAGCTGGAGGACCTGCGCGCCGAACAGCAGCGCGAGAAGGAGGGGTTGCTCGAGAACGTGCGACAACTGACCAGCGACCTACGCCTCCAGCAGCTGCTCATCGACCAGGTGAGCGAGTTCGGTGCGCCGCCGTCTCAGCTGGTGTGCCGCTAGACTGGCGTCGACGCGACGTGCAATGCCGTTGATGAGCGTTATTGGATGTCGGTGAACACCCACTCCATGCCTCACGAGTCATTGAAACTGTGGCATTCCGTGGGTCATTCCATGTCTGTGAACTGACCTGCGATGTAAGCGCGGCGTTGTTGACCAGGTCCCGGCCGATGTGCCGTGCTCACCTGCGCGTTCCGTGCGATGATGGGTCACCGCTCTCCCATGCGCGTTTCGTGTGGTGACGGGTCACCGCTCTCTATTGCGCGTTCCGGGCGGTGACGGGTCACCGCTCTCCCCAGCGCGTTCCTAGCGGTGGCGGGTCACCGCTCTCCCCTGCTCTCTTTTGTGCGGTGACGGGTCACCTGTCTCCCCTGCGCGGTGACAAGTCGCCGCTCTCCCTTGCGCGGTTCCGTGCGGTGACGGGCGGCCTGCTCGCGGCAGGCGATCCCGGCCGAGTACCAGAGCATGGTGGAGCAGTACGCCAGCTGGAACGACGAGATCGGAGAGTGGCAACTGCGCTGCGTCGCCTACACGGGCAACAACATGCGGCGCAACACGGACCCGGCCGATGCCGACCGTCAGCCGGAGGTGACTGGGGGGAGCCGCGCCGGGCCGGCTGCCGCAGGCGTCCGCCGGGGCGGACCCGCTGGTGCCACGCAGCGGGAGGGGCTGATGCGTAACGTGTGGTGTTTGTGTGGGCAGTCTCGAGGTGCGATGCCGTGCTGGATCGGACCGGTAGGTTGTCCTGTATGTGCGCCCACCGCCGGGCGCGCTAATGTCATGTATGGCTTGTCGCATGCCACCTGACACTGATAATTATGTTATATTTCACGAGTGCTAGTATCTGATATATCACTAGGGCTAGTGTCTTATTTATCACTAGTCCCAGTATTTCATCAACTACTTGTACTAATATCTTATGTCATTGGTGTTCGTATCTTATCTGCCAATAACATTGGCATCATGCCGTTGGTACTAGTATCTCATGTCATTAGCACCAGTATCATATCTACCACTAGTACTAATATCTTACCTATCACCAGTACTAGCATGTTATGCTCACCAGTCACGTTACGTCTGCCGTATCACGCGTCGTGCTACGACGGCGGGTCGCAGTTCGTGCCCGGTCCGTCTTTGTCCGGTGATGCTTCTGTCCTCTCACAAGTCTTAGTTCATCTGCCTCTCACGGGTCATGCCCCGTGCTCGGTCACGAGCGCCGCTCCCCTGCAGTGTCCTTGCTCACGACGCGCGGCTGTCGTATTGCTGTCGCGGAAGGGCGTGTCGTGCTCCCTGAACATCCGTCACCCTCGCTGGAGCTGACGTATCGCAGCCGCTGGTGGTGGATCTGTCTCGCGTGTGCCTGTCGCACTCCGCGAGCGTGCTCCCCGCTCACGCCTGACCCGCCGCAGCCGCCGCTGGTGGATCTGTCTCGCGTGTGCCTGTCGCACTCCGCGAGCGTGCTCCCCGCTCACACCTGACCCGCTGCAGCCGCCGCTGGTGGACCTGTCGCACGTGTACCTGTCGTACTCCGCCGACGGACCGGGCGTGGCCATCCGGCCCAAGTCGGCCAAGCACCGACAGGCGCGGCCTCGCGGCTCTGCAGTCCCTCCCGGCACCGCTGCCAGACAGTGAGTGCGCCGTCGCGTGCCGCTGAGGTCGGGGGCGCCCAGCGCACTGTGCACGGAGGACCATGCCGCACTGCGGCACGCTCTTACAGCTGTGGATGTTGATGCGCGGGGCTGTGTATCACTGGTGTCGGACGGAACAGGAATCGCGTGTCATATTGTATCATGCTGCGAGGGATGGTGGTGGCCGCGCTCCTGCCCGCGCTCAGCCATGGGAGCCGCCGGCGGGGTGTACAGCTCCGCTGAACTGCATAAGGCAGCCACTGGCCGGCGCGGGGACGCCGCGGTCGCCGTGTGACGGCCAGCGAGTGCTGCGTGACACGGTCTCGTGTCGCTCCAGGCGGATGTGAGACCGACGGGGCGCGATCCTGCCACGCCAGCCGCCCCAGCTTCGGAGCGCTGGTGGAGGAGACGGCGGCCTGCTGTGATAACCCTTCAGGCAACCCTGCTGACGTCAGCCGCGCTGCTAGCGAGGCTGCCTCCCGACTATGTGCAGTAATTCTAGTCTAGCCTGCCACGCGCGCGGCGGCTCCACCCGAACGCCGTGGCATGGTAACGCGGTTATGACTTTGCGCATCCGGCGAAGCGGTGACTGCGACCGCCTCCGACTGTGATGAGGCTGTATCTGGAGCGCTCGGACTGTTTGTCGTGAGGTGTTGCGGTTCACTGGGGCGTGTCGCACCTGATCTCACTCCGCGGATGGATGTCCGCACAACGGGAGCCCCACCCCTCGCCGTAGCCGAGACCGATGCAGGGCTCGCTGCCCGCCCGCACTTATATTCACCGTGTACTCCGCGCCTCAGGCAGTGTATGCGAATGAGCGAGCTTGGCGTACGATGTAACCCGGCGTGCCACGAGGACGACGCAGAGCACGGCGGCGGCGCCACCAGTCCGGGCTGGTGCGGCCACGTTTCGCCGACGTCCTCGCCGGTGTGAAGGTGGCTCGCTCACACGCCGCCTCAGCGCCGCGCGGCCGGTAGCTTTGCACGTCAGACAGCGGGCTGGTCGCCTGACCTGGGGATCACCGCGTGTGTGTGTGGAGCCGGCTGCGTCGGCGGTCGGCCTCTCGGGCGGGCTTCCAGCTGAGACAGTCCCAGGCTGTCGCCGGCGTGCGGCCTGTGGCCATGTCCGGCCGACAGCTGACGCACGTGGCGGAGGTCGCGCAATACACGCACGAGCACAGAACGAAGATTTATTATGGGCCGGCCGGCGCAAGCGACGCCGGCGGTCGGCTATCGCAGAAGTACATCAACACACATCAGAACACCGGGCGTCAGTGTCAGCAATCGGGGGCGTGGGGGACGGGGGCGAATGTGAATCAGGAATGGGGCCACCCGACAGGACAGCGGGCGCGGCCGAGGCGTCTATTGCTGTTTACACTCCTGCGGGTCGCCGGCTTTGCCGCCTGGCGCTCTGGCTTTCTTGGGGTCGAAGTCGGGGTCCTCCTCGTCGTCCATGTCCTCCTCGCCTGCGGACGGACAGGACGGACAGATCATGCCGAGGAGTTCACGCTTCACTGGCGGGTGCATGATGCGCCAGGTTTCAAATTCCGGCACCTGCTATCTTGGGCCGGCCTGAACATCGATAATGAACGGACGATTCCGAGTGAATACCAAAGAATGCCTCGTGTGTGAAAATGGCATAAAAGTCAATGTCTGTACGATAACCACCGTACTGAAACCACAACACTGGCAACCTATGGAAAGTAGACACGCCGTCGACACTCACTGCCCTCGTCGCCGTCCTCCTCTTCCTCCTCGTCGTCGTAGTCGTCCTCCTCAAGCGCCTCGCCGGTGAAGTAGAGCACGGCGCGCGGCACGATGCGCTCGCGGATATAGTGACCGATCTCGAAGTCGGCAGTCAGCTGGCCCTGCACCTCCTCGTCCACGTCCGCGTCCGGGTCGTCCGGTACTGCGGGCAGCCCGGGTCAGGCCCGCCGTCAGGCCGGCGCAGGGTCACGCAGCCGTCAACGGTAAGGGGTGGCATGGGACGCGCCTGATGGGTTAGAGTTCCCATTGAGTGAAGGTGTTCACGACGTGCGCTGGGGAGGGGTGCGCCTGCGCTAGAAAGGGGTTCGGCTGCGCTCGGAGGAATCCGGCGCGAGCATGGGGGGGGGGGAGGGTTCCACCAGCGGCATTGGCGAGGGGACGCCCGTGGGATGACTCGTGCCACATGATGCTGACTGGCACTGGTAAAGGGTTCGCTTCATAAGACAAGGGGGGCGGGGGGCCTAGCGCTGGTTGAATAGCCACATGAGAGTTACCCGAAGATCGAAGCACGCCTGGTTACAGTTGACACGGGCACTGCGAACGGACGGCGGGCGCACGCGCCAAATGAATGCTCAGAGCGCAGCGGAGCAGCACGGCATTTATCATTCGTATTCCGCTTCAGTGAATGGAAGAGCCAGGTGCATCACTCCACGTCGTTATTGGCTTCACTTTAACCTCGTCTGTTTAACCTCGTCGTCTGCGTGTATAGGCCCGAGATGAGGACGGTCGCACCGTGATCCATCTATTGCACAGTAATCCTGCGCCTGTCCCCCAGCGCCGGGTGGCGGCGCGAGGACTCCCGCGCCGCCCACCACGTCACGGCCATCGAGTCACGGAACTCGGCATACCGGACGGCGGGTTGAAGAAGTTGAAGAACGAGTCGTTCTGCACCGTCTTGGTGACGGTACGCGTGCTGCCGCGCGACTTGTGCTTCTGCTTCTTCTTGATCGTCTTGAGCGTGATGTTCTTGCCCTTCTGCCAGTCTATCGTACAGCCCTGCGGGGCGCCACACGCGTCTGAGGTGGCCGCCCAGCGCGCCGGGCGCCCGGCGGGTCGCGCGCCAGCCGACGACAGACGACCGCGCCCCGCGGCCGCTGAGCGACGGGCGGGGAGGGAGGGGGGGGGGGGGACTGACGAGTCACCAGCGCCGCACTACATAGCAGGCTGCTGGCGGGGAGCGCGCGCTAGCCAGCCGGTGTTCGTAAGCACGGCTCCACTCCCAATCCAGCCATAAAATAAGCTAGAGCAGTGCTCCATTGTATCCCTCTAGCTATGACAACTTGTACCAACTGTGGTATGTGACATTCAAAGAAAGTTGGCTTCTATATGCTAACAGGCATTTTTGCAGACTGCTGCGTAACAGATACCGTCCATCTGCAATGTTTCTGCAGAAAAACAATACCATATTACTGTTGCTTACATTTTGCACATTCCACAGCATGCCACGTTCACTTCTGAGCGATTCCCTAAGTCATTTCATTCTGCACATTCAGTCCTAACACGTTTTCGAGATACAATTTGCACGTTGGCTTCCGCGTGCCAGCAAATCAATACGCCTGCGCCCCTCGATCTTGCAGACCAAACGCCCACCCCACCTTGCACTTGTAGATCTCGGGGCCCTCGAACGTGAACGGCTCCTTGTCGTCGGGCCGGCACTTCATGAAGTACTCCTTCGTCAGCACCGTGTTGGTGAAGTGCTCGTTGGACGAGAAGTGGAACTCGAGCGTGAAGCCCTGCCAAAGCAGAGATGGTCAGCCGCCCAGACGGGCATGAGCTCGCGGGGCACAGCTCACCCAGCCTAAAAAAAAAAAAACACACTACTGCAGCCGGCGCAGACACCACCACTGATGCGCCCACACGGTGCCGGCGTCTCCACACGGTGGAAGCTGGCGCCCCCAGCAGGTCTGAGGTGACCAGAGCGCCAGCAGGTGACCAGACCAGACCAGACCAGACCAGACTGAGGTGAGGTGACCAGACCAACCCAGCAGCCGCACCAGGCTACACTGGCACCGCGCGCCGGAACCCCAGCAGGTCTGAGGTGACCAGGCAGCCCAGCAGCCGCACCACGCTACACTGGCACCGCGCGCCGGGGCGCCGGCCGGCGCGGCCGGGCTCACCATGGGCTCCTTCTCGGAGAACGCCACCGTGATGTCGGTGAGGTGTTTGAGGATGGGTTCGTCGTGCTCCCGGATCAGCTCCGAAAGCAGCTCCACGTTCTTGCAGACGGTCAGCCAGAAGTCGGGGATGCCCTGCGCCGCCCAAGGACTGTCAGTCTAGAGCACGCGCACCAGCAGTCCCCGTCACCAGACACATCCAGCTCAGTTCTCCAGGCCACTCCCAATGGTCAAGGTCAGGCGTGGTGCTCACGTGTCACCATGTGGCTGCCTGCCGCTCGTCCCCACCCCCAGCTTGCTGTGAACGCGGACATCGGCAAATGGCTAACCGACGCGGATGCCACTCACGCCGGGAAGACGACAACATCCCCTGCCTCTACAGTCCGGGGCAGCTCTGCACCGGACTCCCACACACCTGGCGCTTTCAGTGCGCCCCCGCCCCCCCCCCCCCCCCCCCCACCTCGCCCGAGCACACGCAGGGACGACCGGCCGTGGCCCGCCCCGGGGCGGCGGCCACTGACACGGCCCGGTCTGCGGCCCCCTCCGGCCGGCACAGACGGCCGCGGCCGGCGCCGGCAGACGCACCTTGGTGTGCTCGTCCATGCCGTGTAGCTTGGCGTCGCCGTCGCCGATGGTGGCCTTGTCCTCCATTTCGAGGCTGATCTCGTCGTCGAGCGTGAACTCGCACTCGGCGTCGGTCGGCTCGTACTCGCCGCTCACCACCGACGAGCGCTGCCGGCCGCCAGGCCTCAGTCTCGCGGCGCCGACGCGCGCACACACACGCACGCACGCACGCACGCACGCACGCACGCACGCACAAACACACACGTACCATCGTCCAGGCCCACACAACGCGCATCGAACAGACGCGGCAAACGTCGTAGGCCAGACTCCCACACCCCATCCGTCCGGCTGACGCACAGCACAACTCGGACCAGATTACTCCTGCATCGTTACATATACATATACATGGACGTCAGTTCCTTGTGTTGCGGACCTCACGTTTCACGCCGCGCATTCTAACGGACAACGCCTAAGGGCGGGGCGGGGAAGGATGATGCCTAACCCCTTATACACCCCTATCGGCCACTGATGTACCCTCCGACCACCACACGCTGCGTCCAACAGCCGGCTGCAAATAGTCGGCGATTTCTCACCTGTTCATATAGAGGCATGTACAGTTTGTGGTATTTACACTCCAACGCGTGCACCTCCTCATAAAAGGCAGCTTCAATGTTGGTGGCTTTCAGCTGAAGGTTCTTCAGCGCTTTGATCCTTCGCTTGACAACCTTGGGTAAACTCTGCAACAGAGCCGTGGCTGATAGTTCCGAATAACTGCGAGACATGCTACAATTCCCATCGTCATCGCATTCTGGAATGTCAACCCCATACCCAAATTTCTATAAGAAGCTTGCGACGATCCTGTTTTGGAAAACAAGGGAACGGCACCACACAGCCTCAGATCTTCTCGTCAGGGTGGATAACTTTTAGTGCACCACGAATTTCGATATTATACATAGCATGCTAGCAGCGACAGCAAATAAAATTAACGACGCGGAAACCACCACGCGTGTGAAATGGGATAGCGCACTGAACCATACCTGCGTCCATTCTACACTGTATTTTCACTCGACAGCCCTTCTATTGCCAGCAGGTGGGTGCATTGTGCACCAGAGCAGCTCAGATTCGACTTTTTGTGAACTTCAAGAGGAATAACGATAAAAGGAAACATGTTTGCAACTGTATTGAAACCGTGTTTGAAATATGCAACACATACAGTATGCTGTTATAGTTGCATTAGAGAAAAAAGGCCTGGGATGATTGCTTCTTTATCTCAAGTTGACCCCGACTCCATTCGAGGGCTTCATATTCAACCGGCCAACCCGAGCGTGTGTCAAGAGTGGGAAACGCTCCAAGAATTTTGGACCCGCTGATTATAATACACTACTATTTTAAGTTAAATGGGTTGGCATGACCCCACCGACCACACGACATCGATTTCCACTCCGAAATAGACCATCGCGTGCCGCCCCGACCCGACAGCCCACGTTCCCGGAACTCGGCCGGGAGGGCTGGACCCACGAGCTGGCCGGGACCCGACGGCAGCAGAGGTCGTGTTAATGATGCCGGCCTGCCAGCGATTGTGACCCAGACACAGCTGGTGGCAGGCAGCAGGGCCTACCCTCCCACAGGCATCGCCTAGCTGGGATGCAGCACCAGCTGGCACCAGCTGGCACCAGCAGACTGGATGAACCAGGCGCCGTTCATTGCGTGTTACCACGGGTG